ACCGATAAACCAGTCATGGATTTCAGTAGGATTTATAACTACGCACATTGAGTTTATCTCCGGGACTGCTTTTTTATGCAGATATAACAACAGTCTGAGTTTTAAAACGGTCTTCGTGACGCTGGACAGTTTGAGTAGTTCTGTCTGGCTGGTAGTCAGCACGACGCCGATGTCATTTTGCAATGCGTCAAGGTAACGAATCGTGGATTCTCCGCATTTGAAATGTCACAGTGTTTTTGCTATCTGAAACACTTCCCATTTTCTTCTAAACAGTTTCGATTTATTTTTTCTAGATCCTTCAAGTTATTCGTAAGTATTTCTTGCTGAATCTAGGATAACCAAAATTTTCTGTGATGGTAAGCGCGAGGAAGGTAGGATTAACAGAAATTTTACCCTTTCTCATCGAGGGTTACTTAATTACTTTAAATTTTTGGCTTAGGTTTTCCCCTAGGTAAATGTCTCCAACCGCAATTTTACCGTACCCACAAATTGTCATTTCTATTGTTTAAACAATAAAGATTACCCACTTGGTAAATTTCCATCGTTCTTCCTGGAGTTGAAGTTTGATTCAACTTTGGGTTAAAGCTTATGCGGCTGCGAAAACGTTGAAATATTTGGGTTCTACAGTGGTCCATTCAGCTGGATTGAAGTTCGTACAAGTTCGTACACACTTTCCTAGATCATGAAAATGTAGAGCAAAACGCCTCATTGGTTTTCCGGTGTGTCTCAGAGTACCTGTGGTAGATTCCGGTGGTGATATACTTTCTACCGTCAGCTGCGTTTCAGTGAACTGAATCCTTCTTTTTTGAAAAAATGTATGGTTCAATTATGGAAATCATTCGAACTGTTTCAATGGCCAAACAATGCAGCACAGCAACTGTATCACTTTTGAGACGAGATAGCTGAGTGCGGAATCTTCTTGTGTCTCCGAGTTAAATGAATGTCTCAGTGTATTCTGTTTAAATAATGCTTCAGCAACAACTGTCCATCTCACGGGGAATTTATTTTCCATTGGTTCCTAAATAAAGTTTCATTAACTTTTATGTTCTAGAAGAAGTTAATTGCCTCTAATGCAGTTATAAAATGCTGCATTTGGACAACTCCTTCTCAAAATAAAATTTATTTATTTAGAATTCAGAATCATCATGTCTTTGAATTACATTCCATAAGGATGAAATAAGAAATGTTACGGGAGCAAGAAATAAACTTACCCAATCGTTTGGGACTGTAAATTAGCAATGGTTTTGATTCTGGAAACGAAGGAAAACAAATAGGCAGATTCATCAGTGAGAACAAAAATGTATGACGTCACAGAACAAAACGAACTACTGAATCCAGAAAGATCGACAAGGTTTTAGAAAACAAAATGGTGTGCAAGATTTTTTCATGAAAACTTTACTCTCTGGCTAATTATACAACCAAGGAATACGTAAAATTAAGTTGCACAATGATTTAGGCATCCTTGTTTGTGATTAGTCGCTGGATTTAATAGACTCTATGTGAATTACAAACAATATTGGGTGTGAAGGGATTGAAGGGGACACATGAGAGACAGAACTGCTTCAAGGGTACATTTCTAGTCCGGGTCACTCGGTCACGGTAAATTTGATCTCCACTTGTCGAAAACGTCCCACAAATCACAGTTCGAGCGAAAAAGCAGGGTGGCAAACAAACTCGTCTTCAGCTGTTCGTATTCATGTCAATACATCCCAATATATATCACTACTTGAGAAAAAAATTGTCTTTGGAAAATAAATTAACAGATTATCTGAAAATAATTGAGACCGAAAATCGGGATCACCACGATCACATATTTTTTGTCCATTCATTCGATCATCGAGATTACTTGTGATTCGATGTATGTGTGGGGTGAGTCAGGGAAGATTGGCCGCTTGCACAAATTGTTTTGGGGTACACAGAGGGGGTTGTGTAGATAAATGACCACGACTTCTGTTGTGGCCGTCATCCAACAACAAAATCGCCTCGATAATGACTCACGAACGTTATACAGGGGACCCTGTCCACAGTGTGATTTAGCTAGGTGTGAAACCACTGGTGAGGGACTTAATCATTCCGGTGTTCAGCCACGCAGAGTGGTGATATCTTTCAAAGAAGATTATCAAACGCAATCGATAACATATTTTATGCATTGAATCTTCGTGTGTTGTTCGCGTCCAAACAAATTGTGCATTTGCAACTGGAGGACAAAGTTCCAGACTCTGCCGTTGAATGCTTTAGAACAACGTTCATAGGCCACACGGTTAGGTGATTGTCCGAACGGATTCGTGAACACCACCCAGCGTGTCTGAACACCGGAACGATTACGTCACTCACCGGTGAAGTGGTTTCATATATAGCTGAATTCAAACCGTGGTCATGGCAGTTGAAGAGCTTTGATAAATGATTCTGGGGAAAAAACGATGAATTGAATGGGTTATTTCTAAATGGCATTGACCTACAGCATTTGATGGATCACAAACCCGATGTCTGACCTAATTTACTTGATGGCCCGTATCTGCGAGGTGTTCTAAGACGGTGCTGGAAATGACTAACCCTGTGCCGTAGACAACCAAATTGACCTATGTGCACAAATGTTTCTCAGAAATGCTTGATGGGTTTAGTTGTTCTGATTGCCTCCAAATAAGCATATCTCATTCGCATCCAGCTAACATCAACCTTTGTTTGTAAAATATGTACAATGTCCTAACAAAACATGTTGACGTATCTAACATGTTATGCGAGTTCTTAATACCCTCTCTTTATCTATATTAGCCACAGGATTTGGTCGTGGCAAAGTAGTTTGTTCACTATTCCTTACTTTATCGAATCTGATAATAAATATAACTGTTGAAATATATTCAGTGGTAGTAGTTTACCGTATTAAGGACGCAGTTAAGGTAAACAGATCCAAGGAGTAGTTTGTTTTCAACACAGGGAATCAATCAAGAAGTGGTGTAATCGATCCAATACGTTGAAAGACAAGATAATCAAACAATCGCAAACTGGGGGTGCAGCTGGAGTTGATGAACGGATAGTATTTACTGCCTAGGTTCTGGACCTATACATATACTATGGGGAAATTCTTAAAAGTTTCATATAGTCTGTTCTTTCAACTCGTAGCCAGTTCAGTATTCCTGACATTTTTAGCCTATATCCATTTTTCATGACCACACAGATATAAACAACACCATCAGGAAATTTGAACACCCATAATCAATAGTGGTGGTTTCCCTTCTGTTTATATATTTTATACTCCGTCACTTTATGGAACTACCGTGCCCGTTGGTCTGATACGCTTGGAAGAAAGCCTGCCAATATCATAGACAAAATTCGTTGTGTATAGAGCAATTGGCGCGCGAACAGAAAAAGTAGGAAGAAATGCACAACTGTTTCGCACTAGTTGGGCCTCAGCAACAGTGTGAATCCGTTCACTCGATCCGGGACCTCACAGGCGGATAGTAAGTTTGCTACCCATTCGGCCATCGGGCAGCTGATCCGATCGTTTTCCTTTTACATTCACAGGGTTCAGCACAACCCATACTTGTGAGCTTCTTGCGAGCATCGCGCCTCGTCATCTCAGCACTAGATTGTCAACAATTTAATTCCATTCCAAACAAACCGTCTGAAGCTGCATGTATTTTACTGAATCAATTATATTTTCTTCATTTTTGTAGTGGATCTCAATGGATTAACCTATTTAGAATCCATGTTTTCTATCAGCGAATACAACGCTGTCCACTAAATCGCGCTGAACTGCATAGTGAATGAAACAAATCACATCGTGAGCGTAAACATAGTATCCAGCCCACCACCTAGGGGTCGTGATGTGTTATCAAGGCAGGTTTAGCGTCGGATACCAGCACAAACAGAACGGTGAAAATTCGGTTTCCTCTGGAGTCCGAATCCAATGTGTGCAGGCCCTCGGCCACACCTCACATTCCGGGTAGTCTGGATGATCAGATGATTAAGTTGTTCGCTTGTAAACAAATCATGAGGTAATTTGAAAAGCCGAATGCACCGTGCGTAAATGGCATAGGCTTTAGTTGTGAGTAAGCTAACAGGGTGTTAGATGTGAATAAAAAATGTGGGGAGAAAATTAGAAAGAATCAAAGCATATTCGATTTGCATGACCTAAGTGATAGCAGCGCTTGATCACTGCGTTCCTCTTATCCGGTCCAAAGGTGGAATTGATTGCAGTAATCCATCATGCTGATGTTCCTCTCTTCCAGGACAATTTGTGCATCAATTCGTGATATATATCGTGCATCTCACTGAATACGAGCTTGCTCGCTACTAGGTTTTGTTTGAGATGAATGATCCTTGAACAGCTTTTGATGAAACACGTGCAGTGCATTGCTACAAATTACCACTGACAGTGATGATTGCCCGCTATTGGAACGGAACGCTCACGTTCAGTGCTAATTAGGGTTTGGTATGATAAAACTGCATGTACCAGTCCATCTGTTGCTCTCAATTAGGATGCATAGACACATTTTGGTCCTGTGTCCGAACCTGTGATCCGTTTGTCGGTACAAACACAACTTTAGAAGGCCGCTGAAAATAAAATCGGCAAGGTGACATTGGGCGAGAGTTTTCTTTTATCTGAATCACGTAAACACAGTATCTTGTTGAACTTTGAGATCGATTGTTTAAATGAAATGAACTCCTCGCTTGGTTCCTGCCAGATTACAGACTACATGAGTTGCGAATTAGGTAAGTTACGTGACCAATGCAGAGTCCAATTGCGTCTAATCCCTGTTAGTAATTAACCGCGGTATGAAGCTTGCTGCGGTTCAACCCTTACAAGCAACATATGAACCACAGAACTATCGCATTGATTTTTCGCTTCTGTCTCGTATCAAAAGTACCCCTTTGAATGTTCATATTAAATTGATCGCTATATGCGTGTAAATGTTTGTATGCACGAGGGAATCCGAATGGATACGTTTGAATTTCTAACAGTTCAGTGATGCCTCCTGATGAACAAGGTGCAAACCGAAAAATCAGGCATTGCATTCATTTGGTAGTCTTTTCTGGTTCTGACTTAGCCTCTAAACATCGACTTGCCTATCCGTCTGGCTCGTTCAATCACGCAAACCCGGTTTTTTAGTCTGTGGTTAGAATAAACGGACATGTTTTGTTTTTCATTCCCACACCTGTCATTGGGTTTGCATTGAATAGAAGCCGAAAAAGAGACACATTCACTTTTCCAGTAGGCGGACAACGAATCAAAAACAAGCCTCCTCCCTCCCCCGTTTCCTTTGCTTTTCGGGCGCATCCAGTAGCACAAAAACATATCAAATGCGCGTGGTTTTCCCATCAAAACGTTTTCGATTTTTCACATATCTGTTTTTTTGTGTACCCAACACATACACGCACACAAGTCATTCTCCTCATTTTACTCGGGGACTTTGTTCTCTATGGTCATTCGAATAAAAATGCAGAAATGAGTTGATGCAAAACTGAATCACCCTCATTGTCTGTGTGCCTCGTGCAGTTAGGCAATAATGTTGTGGTAAATTGCGGTTTATCTTCCTAATATCCATCTGCACATATCATCGATTTTAACATTGGTTAGGTCAACCGCGGGTGTAGCCATTGTAATATATATATATATATATATATATATATATATATATGCGTAAAAGTGTGACGTTCTCAAGTCTGCGACAAGCGAAGGTTTTAGCAACCGGCAATTCCTAATTTAACGAACTATTGATTTGCTCATTTGACTTGATAATTGAGAAAACCAGTCGGTTAGCGAACAATTGGTTTCCGATATTCCTAGTCATGCTTTTGCATATCATATGGTGGAAAAATGCTTACAGAATGACAGTAATTGGCCCATTAATCGGGTCATCAATTGTGTACGAGCGTTTACTGTGTCAATGGATGTGACCTTTCGCCATTTGGGTCAAGGGGCACGTTCTGTTCTGTTTTGATGTTCACACTTGACCACGGCAATTGAAGCTTTTGAATCAATCTTTTTTGGGCACACAGGTTTGGGCAAAGTAATCGAATGGCGATCGCCTCCGCCACGGCCGGTGTCCAAACTGGGACTGCCTTCGATCGATTGAGTGGGATGCGATTAGCAGCATCGAAAGCTTTCTCCGTTTCTATCTTGCGTCCGGCGTCTACGAGATGACGCACGATTGCCCTTGAGATGCAGCCGGTCTTCCCATGACTTAACCATCGCGAGTGGTTCTCCTTAACGCATTGAAAAAAATCGCTTAACTGTACGACCCAACATGCGCCCAAACCTGTGTGCCCAAAAAAGTGCTTCAATTAACCTGGCCCAGAGTGAACACCAAAACAGAACAGAACCTGTCCCTTGGCCCAACTGGTGAAAGGTCGCTTCCAATGACACATTAAAGGGGCCTACACGCACCCATGCACACACATCCCCTTCTCTCCGACTCCGTTTAATGACCTTTAATTGAGATTTTAATTGAACCAATGACTGTCATTTTATGCGCATTTTTCCTCTAAATGATATTTATGTGCATGTAAGAGCATATCCGAAAAATAATTATTCGCTCACAGACTTGTTTTCTCAATGCTGTTATTGGAATATTCAATCTGTTGAACTGATAACCTTAGGCATTACTGGATCAAAGCCAAAAAAAGTGATGGGGTTTTTGATGAAAATGGTCTTTTCAAACGCGCGAAGGTGTTCGAGACTGAAACGTAATTATTTAAAGTTATTCTTGGTATCTTCGCATTTTATGCTTAACATTAGCTGTGCAAGGAGTGGAGAAACATTCTTAAGGTGATTGGTCGAATGTTCTAGAAAATGCAAATGTTCGTTGAAATCTCTGACCTGCGATCCCCTCTCATGTACGAGCAGCTTCTTTAAAGGAATGCCAGTGTATAAACGGGCGCTCGAATTTACACAAAACTTACCTTTTACCAGCACCCGATACCGAATCAGCTGTTGTGTGCGCCCCACAAGACGACACGTGTACATATCCGAATCCGCGGGTCGTAGGAAGTCAATCACTAGATCCCATTGTTCGGCCGTTTCGGGAACCCTTTGCTCGTAAGAACGTGGATATGTTGTATTAGCCGTGGCACGAATTGAAGGAAATGAGGAATAAGTATTAATTTGATTAAAATTCTTCTCGGTCGTGACCAGGTGAATTCGATCCGCCTTGGAGAATTTTGTTTTCGAAGCAAAAAGTGGGTTGTCACCTTTTTCCCATATTGTTGTCTAGATGAGGAGGAATGGAACAATTTCGGAAAGATCAAATCAGATATAAAATTATTGAAAATGTATGGTTCAAACCTTTGATAACTAACTAGCATGCCTGACAATTTTATGGAACATATGATGGTAACTGAGCCTCGACTGTCACGAATAACATAGATGACGCACTGATGTTCAATACATTGGTAATACACATACGATGGACACGGAGTTCAAAGCCCAGATAGGACGGTGACAATGCACTACTGATAAGGGAGAAACCCGAATCTAGTGCTTTTGAGTGTAAGGTTGACTGGAAGAGCTGAGGAATATGCGTGAAGTTTAAGTCTGAAGGATAGTCAGTTCTAATCAATCAGACAATATTCAACGGCATGTACCGACGTTCAACCTGATAGTGGCGTGAACCACTAACAAGACGAAATCATTGAATGTTCTATGTTTACACGTCAAATAATAATAAATAATAAATAAATAATATCTCTATATTCTGTGAATAATTTAACAGACTCTCTTTTTATTTTCATTGCCCTAAAATTTCGTTCCTTCCACGTCATTTATTCGACGGGTTTCCACATGCGTTTGCTCTCCCCAGTCAGCTGTACGCAAAATAAACGGCGAGTAAATCCCAGTCGGATTTCCTTCAGTTGAACCCATCTGATTTAGCGTGGCCATTAGTGAGACCAGCCTAAAGTTCAGGTCGGTTTAATTTGTCTCCCCGATGATTGGATGCACATGATATTTTGCGATCAAAATTATGGTATCCGGAAAACAACAATGTTAAAAAATGAAATTTTGAATCAGTTTTGAAAGAGACCGGAGATAAAGAACTTTCAAGTTCGGGAAACAATTAAACTAGATTTATGTTTTCGATTGACAAGAGTGTGAAACAGCTTCGATAATTGAAAGTCATACTTAATTCATTGCGCATGAAGTGAAACTTTTTTTCTTCCTTTCATTTCTCATTCCTCTCATTCATAGATAGCGATTCAATTTCTGGGAAAGCGGAAATTATCAATCAAAATGCCAAACAGAATGGGGATTCAGGCGGTCATGTGTGGAAATGGAACACCAGCCCTCTGGAGCGATAATATAGTGACCTTCACCACTCCGTCGCCCCTGCCGATTTATGCCCTAGAAATGTATGCTCAGGATTCAAAAATAAATCAACTTATTAATTTATTTGCGAACAAAGATCGCTCTGAAACATTTGCCTCGGGTGAATTCATGCACATTGTGAATTGAATACCTGTGTAGTAATGTACACCAATTGTGTAGGTATTGAGCGAAATCTCGCGGCGCACGCAATTCGGAAACGCATTTTGGTTACAGGATAATACCTGAACATCGACAGCTATGGGCGAAAAGCATTCATTCTGTTCTTTCCCAACCGTTGAACTTTTCTCACTTGTGACACTGTGCGTGTCATGATGAAATGTGAAGTCGTTCAGAAGTGACAATCTAGATGCAAAAACATTTTGCATATAGAGTTCTATAAACGTTCTTTTTTTCGGGTGTGTGCGATTTCATGGGGTATTTTTTCCGGTTGATCTGTGTATTTTAAAAAGCTCATCTTTGTTAATGTATCACCTAGTCAATAAGTAATTAAATTACAAAAGAAACAACATAAATATTTATGATTACAGATATGTTGCGTCTGATGAAGAGAAATGTAATATTCAAGTACGTAAATGAAGCTCAAAGCAGTAAGTGTTTGGGGGAATACATTTGACGAATGTCAGGGTATCGCACGAGTTCAGTTAAGATTTATATTATTGATATTGTTATCATATTAATGTAAGAGAAGAATGGAAGGGTGATATGTGTTTGTGTGTGTCAGGGGTTAAAGACTTAAGCTCAAATAAAATAGGAAGAGGGAGAGATTGTTGTCGTGTTCTATTGTTTGAATGTGACCGAATGTTCCTTGATACAATTATATATATGCCTTTGCGTACAATTTACGTAAGTGGCGCTGCAGCTGCCCTTGAATTGATAGATGATCACTGACGAGGTCGAAGTGGATAGCCTATCCTTGTTCTGATCTTGGACGAACGATGACTTCTAGATTACGTAGGTGAGTTTAGCAGCATCAGACGTTGATCACGGTAATTTATCTCCCTGCTAGTTTTACATTCTTGATACCTTTTAAAAGAGAGAATCTGTCTCTGGCGTATATACAATTTCAGATATTGCAATTTTGTTTTGTCAATACTCTGCGAACCGTCCTCGGCACTTGTGCCAATCACCCAGGCACAGAGTTTACTAACGTATCACAGCGGTCGAATTTGTCTGTATCCTCTAGTACATGCTACCCTCTGATGTTCAACGACTACGTTAGATATAGCTGACTTATCTAGGTCTCTAACACTCATGTTGCGTAAATGTGATCAACACCTGCAGTATGTATTTGATTTGAGGGCTATATATTATTACTGGACCAAATATCTTAAGAACGTAGAAGTGAAGAAATATGATGAAATCATCGATAACTGTGCAATAGCTCTGTTGTGTTAAAGATACAATCTTATTTTCATTCGAGTCTGGGAACAATGTTTGCTCATTAAAAGTGAGTTCCCGTTGCTGTTTTTTGATGAATGTAGACCAGTAGATAAGATAAGCGATCGCGAGATGAAACTCTCCTCCAACTTGTCACTTATTCTTATCTAGGCTAAAAATACAAAACATTTTAAGTATACACTCCTCAGTTGTCAAGCCAAATATTGTATGATTCGCGTACAGGAATATCAATCTAGCCATTTTCGAAAGAGTAATCATTTTGAGTGTTTCGTTTAAGCCCGAATAGGCATTGATGTTCCTTTGACGGACGTAATGCAGTCAGTCAAGAACAAACTGAACACAGTTCGATGTGGAAAGGGGAATAATGAAAAAAATAGAAACGTGTATGTGAATAAAAAAGGGGAAATCATTGATTGTTCTTTTGACCGATGAAAAGCAATCGAGGATCTTTGTGTGCGTGGAGTTCACTGTCTGCTAGATATACATTCCTCTGCTTATGTTTGAAACCTAATGTACGCAAAAGACGAAAAGAATTTCCACTATTCCAAAATCGAGTGGGATAGTATAATCGGTGAATTATCACAGTATTTAGCTGTGGACAATTTGTGTGACAATTTCTAAGGACACCATTCTCACCAAATTTCCATACATACAAATATGTTTTTTGAGCACGATAAATGTGATGGCTGATAAACCTCAAGTTGCTGACATTTGCAATGTAACGAATCATTATGAATCATCGCATAGAAGAATGACTGAGAGTTAAGTTTCCGAAGAAACCAAACAAGAGGCTGTATTTGTGGAGAGTAAAATTATGAAAATATACAAATCGGGGATGTCCATTAACACTAGTCAGTTAATGTCATTCGGAGCAAACGAGTGAATGTGAAGTATTCGAAGAAATCATCAAACATTAGAAGTAGCACAACATTCACTCTCGAGCAGCAGATGGAAATTCATTCCAGGCTTTGTTACACAACCTATGAGTGAACTGAGAAGCAATCTCTCGCGGTTCACTAAAACATCTGTGTTTGATGCGGGATACGAATCAAACATTCAATTGGTTATTCATCACATTCGCTCACATTTGTTTTGTGTGAGAATTATATTTTAACATAATTGTGGATGTTTTTGACACGTTTACACAGGGAGGAGGAGATGGGAAAAAGGCTAATCGTCAGGTTAAAATATGTAAAAGCTAAGCTAGCCCGACAGTTTACAAATTTATTTGTCACTTGCATATCAATGATTTCAAACAAAGCAAAGGATTTTCAAGAAACGATTGCTATAAATAATAGGAAAAGCACTGAGAGCGGCGTTCGCTAGGTGTGCATTTCAGCAATTGGCGAACACCATTTACATACTCTATTACATTTTGAAGAAATTTAGCGAATTTAATATAATATAATCCTTTGATTACCTATAATTTGACGCAATTTGCCATCGGTTTCCGTACGCATCTCTTTAGTCGTAAATCGCACGCAAAAATGTGTGCTCAGATATCAAAAACAAAACGTAAAATTTTCAAATGAGTTAGCTAAACACTTAGTAAAGACTTCAAATAATTCTCGATGAAGTTACATCACAAACTAGTGATGCTGCAGATAAGCGGGTAATGTAAACTTCGTGCATAACACAAAAATGCAAGCAAAGGTACTTGGCCGCGACAAGATTGAATCAATTGGGATGTGCTTTATTGTGCACTGTTCAACTGAAGAAAGTTGCCCGGCAGTGAACTGTCAGTTGGTGTACTTGTCAGTTGGGTCAAAAGCTTTGCACTGATGACGAGACCTAAAATGATCAAAAATGTGTACGGTGATTCTTATTGCCTATTTCAATAAATCATATCATTTTGCATTGTTTTATGCAAATTCACATGGCCCCGACAGTGTATAAGGTTTATTTCATGCGATGTTGAAATAAGTACTTTGGTTGCAATCACGATGTTATTCGGATAAACTGAACACAAGTAGCGTCAGTTAGCAGACTTGGAAACATTGTTCTACTCCACTTCCTTGGGAGACGACAACCGATCATACATGGAACTGATTTTATTCCCTGCATTGTGCCTCGTTGAACAATCGTGTTTTGCGGAAGTGGTATAAAAACGTACCCAGTGGCAAGGAAGCCTTACAGAAATTGATTAAGTTTAAGCAGCAAAAACCTTGTACCATTTTTATAAACTATGTTGTACTCAGTTAATGTCGTTACCGTTGTCTAAAAGCATATTTATTCATCACTGATAAAACATTTTTTACTCGTCTTCCGTGAGACGATACAGCTTTCAGACAAAAGAAGGACTCAGTAGAAAATGAAAACTAAACATACACATACGGAACGTAAAACAGAGCAGCACAACGCATCGCTACTTGACAGAACAAATCAGTGTCAAATGCAAACAGTGCCAGATGCAGCGTGTAAGACACTGCAACAGGTGTTTGGGAAGAGAAACTTCCGGTTAAGATTGATATGAAGTGATGCCTAATCAC